GGTGACCAACGGCACGCCCGGTCGCCTTTGTCTCCCTAGTAGCGATGTTTACACATTGCACCAGGTGCTTATTTTAGTCCAAGTCGACCTAGGGGAGGCCCAGGACCGGTTCTGATCATCGTTACCGGTGTTGGCCATGAGCGGGAATCGAACTCAGGTCGTCGGGCTCGTAGCGCAGCGCGCTAACCGCTACACCACCGCTCCCCATAAGTTCAACATGCGCACAGTTCAACATGCATGCTTGGATATGGTGGCCAGTGTACATGCACAAGCAGGTTGACATCAGGCTGAAGGGGTGACGACTTTGGAGGGCAAGAAGATGGTTCGGCCAAATCGATCGTCGGAGTATAGTAAATTCCACGCTCCCACATCCATACTCCTCGCCTTCGCCAGGCCACCCTGACCGGCGCGGTCAAGTATGGTCAAGTAACCCCCCACGCTTTCGCACGGCGCGGGGGAGGCCCCCCTCATTCAGCAGTGAACAAAGAGTATGCGAGAGGTAAGAGGTGCGATGTTTTGTGGCAACCCGCCGCTCTTCTCCCAGCAAGTGAATGACAGACGGGCCACATGCATCCGTGTCGTGAATATTATCTCGTCACTGCTCAACCAAGTCATCGGCCTCCTCCCCATCGTTTCAACTCAACGCACCGCGATCTTCCCCAAGACCTTAGCTTATACCGGGACTCCTGTACTTACGAACATTCGACTTACGAACTTTAAGAGATACGAACAAACCTGTCCGTATGCCCAGTTGCCTGTACGGACCGCGTGGCATAAGTTCAACCGCCGCACAACATCTACTTCTGCAGAACGTGAAGAACCGGTGGCATCTACATCCACAGGAGATTATACAACTTTTAAAGCCATTCCCCGTGTTTAGTGTACATGCCGTACAACGCGTTTGGAATCGACGGCAGTAAAGTTGGACTTAGGAACAAATCGACTTATGAACAGACCTCTGGAACCTGACTCGTTCGTGAGTAGAGGAGTCCCTGTACCGCACACGACCAATCGGGGGGAGGGGAAGTAACAGGCGGTGTTTGCCGACGACTACACTACTACGGGGGGCCGTGTTTCATCACGTTTATCCACCGCAGCCAATGCAGCTCCCGAGGCTTCACTCTCACGAACGTTGAACTTCTTTCGCGCCGTACGTAGCCAGCCGTGCTCATCGGCGGGGCGGGGACAAACTAGAACACAAAAAGGACTTCTAAAGAAACCCCCCCCCCCGCTTGCTCGTTTGGCATGGATTCTACTAACTGCAACGTTCATTGTACAAGAGACCGCGGCTGCGGTAATGCACGGGGACACTCCGGACTTGACTATTCGGCGAAACAGCGCGCATTGGATAACCATCTGGAGCAATTTGGCTCTTCGTCAGGGATGAAAGTGGCCAATTTATGGGCGTTAACTTCTCTGACGTGCCCCTCTCTTGCTGGGTAGCGGTCGTGGTGATGAGATCGTGTGACGTCCAATATTCAACAAACTGCATTAGAGAGGCCACTGGCCTCGTCGCGGGAGGCAAAACGTTCCTTTAAATTCCGTAAAATGACATCGCCGTTCGTTATCATCTGCATCAGAAGAAAAAGCGAAATCTCTGCACAACATGACCCCTGTACAGTTACAGATCCGCGCGGCCCATTGCGTCGTTATATACAGCGAGTGCAAGCAGCAGCCGTACGAGATAATCAGGGTGGAGAGTATATAAAGGTGCGCGCTCCACGTGCTCGCTGTGGAGTTGTGTCGCAACAGCGCCGCTCGGTTTCACCGCCAGAGCGGTCCGGTGGAAAGCGACTCACGCAGACGGCACGGGGCGGGGGGAAGAGGGCTGCAGCCAATCACAGGGCGAGGTGAGGCGGGAGTGGGGCGGGGTGAGGCGGAGGAAGGGCTGCAGCCAATCACGGGGCGAGGCGGGAGTGGGGCGGGGTGAGGCGGGGGAAGGGCTGCAGCCAATCACAGGGCGAGGTGAGGCGGGAGTGGGGCGGGGTGAGGCGGGGGAAGGGCTGCAGCCAATCACAGGGCGAGGTGAGGCGGGGGTGGGGCGGGGTGAGGCGGGGGGAAGAGGGCTGCAGCCAATCACGGGGCGAGGTGAGGCGGGGGTGGGGCGGGGTGAGACGGGGGGCGGGGTGGGTGAGGGAAGACTGCAGCCAATCACAAGCGCAGTGAGACGGGGCGGGGCGACATGGTCTCTTTGTCAATGGGGGGGGGGGGGGGTTGAGACCACCCACGTGGACGCGTGGTGGCGCTGCAGCAGCAGCAGCGGCACGAGGTCAAACAAAATGCCCTCGCGGTGTCACGGGGAAGGAGTGGGAGGCAAGAAAGTTTGCGTGGAAGATAATGATCCAACCGTACGCTTCGCCCTAGCCATCGAATCATATAACCAACCCGTGCTGCCAGCCCGACGTCCAGCCCTCACCGACGAACCGACGAGCAAGTCTCTTCTTAATCTTTGCTGTCGTGCCGTTACCACGAGCACTTGCCGGCCTCGTAGCTGTGGCCAATCAGCCACAACTATTCTATCCCAAATCAAGTATTCAACCAGTCACTCGTACTAGCCCGACTAGGGCCACTACTCTCACTGGCACCATCACTAGCCAACCCTAACTCGAACCAAATAGCCAACCAGCCACGAACAACTACCCCGACTCTCCGAGCCGGCCCAGCCATCCAGCCACCCAATGTCCATAACTCTACCCTGTAACCACACCTGCCTTGTTTTGAACGGGACATTCTATATCCCAACGTTAGCTCTGATCAATTTTCGGCGTCTAACGGTGGACACGGAACACGGATAGTCGGCCAAACACCCCCCCCCCCCAACACAGACCATCGTTAAAGAGCTTGGAGGTTGCCTCAAGCACGGGGGGAGATCATTTTTAGTCCGCCACCACCACCGCCTTTTACCCAGCGGCCGTTGCGTGCCCACGACGCGCCCCAGCCAGGCACGTGCAGACCATCGGCGCTCGCAGTCCGCCGGGCGCAAGCCTCCATCGGCCCGGCTGACACCCGGGTGGAGGACCGCGCCTTGGGCTGCGCGTCGTAATATTTGCGACGGAGTTCAGAGACGCTGGCCGCTGCTGGCCTTCCTGCCGCCTCCGCCGGCCCCGCGCAGACGTTTTTCACTTCTGGTCACCAAACATCGCGGGGGGATTTGACTTGACCCATCACCCATACCTGTCAATCCCTCATCAGTGCCTAATCTGATCACAGACCACTTCAGACATTACTGGTCACCCCGTGCCCCTTACAGATCTCAACGTTCGTCCTACAATGTCCCATCACAAGGGAGAAACACAAATAGACAAAACACGTTTTGCCCGTATTGAAACGGCTATACGCCGTATGGACCTGGAAACTCAATTTCCCCGTGCACAAGAAAACGGGGTAAACCGTAATGGGCTGACATCTGTGCGTCCTACACCTCAACGCTTCCCCGTCTCTGCTGGCGTCTCTCCTAGCAACGCGGATGATGAATCATAACGGACCGCGTGGAAGTACTGAACGCGTCCGGCTGTGCGGTACTCGCAGGGAGAATCCCTTTGGCCGTGCGGGTTAAGGGGGTCCCCCACTAGGACGCTTCTGGTAACTCCCACGAGGTCGCCCTGGTTTTACATTTTTTAAAAATCACACCCTGAGGGCTTCTTGTCACAGTGGGCTCACGTTGACTGCACGTGGGCACTTCATTCTGAGGAGGAAAATAAAAATGCAAGCAACAAAATGTAACGTGGCCCATTTTTTGTTTGTTGAAGTTGGAAAGCTTCAGTGAGATGATGTTTTACTCCAGCGTGCTAGCGACTACCACCCCGGCGCGTTCTCTCTGGCAGTGAAATCACCAATGCAGCTTTCTGGAAAATGAAACCCAATCTGGCGCCGGACTTGGCAGTGGCGCGCGCTGCAGTTTGATCAACTACGTTTCCAATCCCCGCATTTAGCACGGATGAGCAATTTTCGGTGATTTTCGTGAACCGAAGAATGGGCACCAAACGAAACGACAACAACAAAAACCTCGGTTGCGGCAGGTCACCCACAGGCTCGCGGCACGCGCCGGCTGCCAAGGTGGTGACACCGAGAAGCGGCGCTCTCGATACCCCCCCCCCGCCCCCCCCTCCCCGCGGAAGCGAGAAGGGGGGCCGGGGGCACTCCTTTCCGTGCGAGACGGCGAGCGAGCGTGGACATCGCGAAAACACACAACACATCGCTTAAGGAGCTGTGTGTTGTGTTGGTGTGTGGTATGGGACTGTGTGTTGTGTTGGTGTGTGGTATGGGACTGTGTGTTGTGTTGGTGTGTGGTATGGGACTGTGTGTTGTGTTGGTGTGTGGTATGGGACTGTGTGTTGTGTTGGTGTGTGGTATGGGACTGTGTGTTGTGTTGGTGTGTGGTCTGAAACTGCGTGTTGTGTTGGTGTGTGGTATGGGACTGTGTGTTGTGTTGGTGTGTGGTATGGGACTGTGTGTTGTGTTGGTGTGTGGTATGGGACTGCGTGTTGTGTTGGTGTGTGGTATGGGACTGTGTGTTGTATTGGTGTGTGGTATGGGACTGTGTGTTGTGTTGGTGTGTGGTATGGGACTGTGTGTTGTATTGGTGTGTGGTATGGGACTGTGTGTTGTATTGGTGTGTGGTATGGGACTGCGTGTTGTATTGGTGTGTGGTATGGGACTGTGTGTTGTGTTGGTGTGTGGTATGGGACTGTGTGTTGTATTGGTGTGTGGTATGGGACTGTGTGTTGTATTGGTGTGTGGTATGGGACTGTGTGTTGTGTTGGTGTGTGGTATGGGACTGTGTGTTGTGTTGGTGTGTGGTCTGGGACTGTGTGTTGTGTTGGTGTGTGGTATGGGACTGTGTGTTGTGTTGGTGTGTGGTATGGGACTGTGTGTTGTATTGGTGTGTGGTATGGGACTGTGTGTTGTATTGGTGTGTGGTCTGGGACTGTGTGTTGTGTTGGTGTGTGGTATGGGACTGTGTGTTGTGTTGGTGTGTGGTATGGGACTGCGTGTTGTATTGGTGTGTGGTATGGGACTGTGTGTTGTGTTGGTGTGTGGTATGGGACTGTGTGTTGTATTGGTGTGTGGTATGGGACTGTGTGTTGTGTTGGTGTGTGGTATGGGACTGTGTGTTGTATTGGTGTGTGGTATGGGACTGTGTGTTGTATTGGTGTGTGGTATGGGACTGTGTGTTGTAATGGTGTCTGTGTGGGAGAGCAGTCGTGTAGGCGTTAGCGTGCTGCGCTACGAACCCCAGCGCCCCGAGTTTCGATTCCCGCTCACTGCCGACACCAATGAGGGTTATTTAAGCCAGTCCTGGGTCTCCCTTAGGTCGACTCAGCCTTAAATCAGTAGCTCGTGTGTGATGTGTAAATATCGCTACTAGGGAGACAAAGGTGGCCAGGCGTGGTGCTGGCCACCCACCCCCTCGTGTGTCGTGTCGGCCTTCATAGGTGCTCGCTAACAGCACTTGCCCCAACAGTCTCTTAAGGATTAACGGGGGATCTTTGCCTTGGTGTGGTCTGGGACACAATTTGAACTGATACACTTGATCTCTTTAACGTCTTTATTTTTTGTGATTTGTCATCCTTTCCTATACTTGATCGTTTTTTGTGTTTTTTTGTTGTTGAAGTTTCTGGCCCAGCCCCGACTGGAGATCTGGGAAAAAAAGAAGCTTCACAGCTCATCGGAACGGAGGTCTCCAGATAAATACAGATTCCGATTCTGCTACTCGTGCACTACCAGAGGCTTGAAGAAACGACACCGGGGGGGCGGGAGGGGTGGCACACGTCCCCAACGGCCCTGTGGTGGACGTGCACCTCGGTGCGCATAGGCGATATTGTCCCCTTGTTCATGTAACATGGCATCCAGTTTAATGTCCACTTTAAGATGTATTTTTTAAAATATATATGAAAATGTAAATGGTTTGTAGAAGTGACACAATTTTTTTTTTCTTCCTTGAAATGTCATCGTTAACAACAACAACAAAAGTTCCAATGCATTAACAATTTAGGAAATCAAAACAACTTGAGTGACAAATTTGAACAACTATTTGTTTCCGAAGTTGTAAAATGTCGAGCCCCTAGCAGGCCACCGGGTATCTCTCTGTGGGTACGTTCTCACACGCATTACACTGACTGACTGATTGACAGACAGAGGAACGTACATACACACAGACCGAACAACACAGCAACAGAAGAAACAACAGACTGACACAGAAACAAATCAACAAACAGTTACACGGACCAACCAAGAGACAAACACAGGACACAACAGCCACCGAGACAGAACGGACGTACGCACGGACAGACAGAAGGAGAATGGAGATAGGACCAGGCGTGCGTGCGGACACTCGGGACGCCCACGTTCGGCCACTGCCGCCGGGGCCCACCGAGACGCCGTCACCGCCAGGCGAAGGTTTCCGTGCCGCTCTGACCGTCACCAGCCGCCGCGCGCCGCCGCCGCCACCGACCGGCCGCGGCGTCGGCGGCGACGACGGCGGCGGCGGCGTCACCTGCAGCAGGCCAGCGGCCCCGCCAGCATCTTGAAGCTGCTGTCGGCCTTGGGGTCGGGCTCGGGCAGGAGGTGAGGCCCCGCCGGGGCCGAGAGAGCCACGGTGGGCTGGGCCTGCGGGGCGGTCGGCGTCACTGCTGCACCTGCGCTACGGGAAACAAAATAAATCGTTTTGTTCGTTCGCCGGGGCGCGGCCCATGAACGGTGCCCCAGTGGCGGCTGTGACTGCCTCCGCAACCGAAGGCTTCCTCGAAAGTTGTTTCCCCCCGCCCCACCAATGTTATCCCGACTGTGTTCTTGGTGGAATTTCACCGCTAATTATATGTTACATTATTTTAGTCGATTTCAAAAATTGTGCTGAGAAACCTGTCAGTTTTTAAGCGAGCGATCGGACGGGCGGCCTCCGTCTTGCGTTCGACGCGCGCGCCGGGCGTGAGCCCCGAGCTGGGCAGCTTAACAACCATGGCCTGGCGAGGGCAATGGCAACCGCCTCCCACCGGGGCCGCGCCAACTACGGTGAGGGAGCAGTGCCAGCGACACTCCTCGCTCGCTCGCTCAGCGGCCCCCGGCTCACTCGCCCACGCACGCACCGAGCGGCGCTTTCGTGGCTCAAACTTCACTGGAAACGGTCACAAGTCCCTGCCTTTCCGAACCGGTAATCGATGTGAAATACGGGGACCGGTTTACCTGCTTGGCGTTCAACTACCCCAGTTAAACGCCCCATTCCCCTGTGTGTATGAATGTATGTTGACCTTCTTTCGCACCGTACATAGCCAACCGTGCTAATCAGAGGTGTGGGGAAAGGATAACAAACTAAATAAGTAAGAATATTTTAAATTGCGCACTCTTATGAGTCCAGTCCATCACGAATGTATGTATGTTGAACTTCATTCATACCGTACGTAGCCAACCGAGCAAATCAGAGGTTCGGGGGGTGAGGGAAGGACAAACGAACGAAACACAAAGAGCAGCTCTAAATAAATTAGCGTTGATTTAAAAAAAATCGCGCAGCTTCGGCGGCTTCCTAACGTCGGGAGGAAGTGAGCCGTTCCCGTCAGACTCCTCGTGAGTGGAGTCCGGGGGACACACCTGAGGCCAGCGGCTGCCTCTTGACGACGCCATTCTTGCCGCGGTCCTCCCAGTCCAGCACCTCCTTGTAGATGAGCTCTGAGTGGGCGGGCGGAGGGGGGGGGGGGGAGACGCGACGTCAACGACGACAATCAGACGCGACGCGCTCGCCGCCCCCTTGGCTGGGCGCGACGCTCATCGTACGAAGGCAAGCTGCGTCAGCTACAGGTACAAAGTAATAATAATAGTCGTAGTCGTAATCATGTTCGACTTGCAACGGCGCCACCGCACGGTTATTCGCTTGCTTTCGTAGAGAGAGAACGAATCGGAGGCCCGAAAAACCACAGGCAAGCCGGTCCCAACAATTGTGCAAGCCCTCTGGTCCTCTACATATGAACGTAGTTCATGGTTTAGAGCGTGTAATTATAAATGTATCATTAATTCTGCAACCACCGAATACAGCCACTTAGCGAGGTTTGTCACGTGATCAAAACATGGCAATTCGTTGGTAGTTCAGCACACCCGGTGTGTTGGAGAGTAAAGCAGCAATATTTACAATTCGAGTATTGTGACGTTTCGCCGGTAATTACAACCAGCATCATCAGGCGGCAGCCAGAGTTGTGGAGAGATCCTCCTATGTCGGTCCATTCGTCGCGAAAGCCTACGTGTTAAACTTGCGTCGACAAAACGTTTGTGTATGTGCCATTTTGCGTTTTCCACGTATGTTTGTATGTCTTTGGAAATTAGATGTTCCATCTCAAGGGATTATCCAGGTGGAATATTTTAAATCACAATTATGCATCGATAAAATATGGGTTCTAAAGCTCACAAGAAATTTGTTGAATTACAAAAGAATCCCGCAGTTTAGTGCTTGAGCATGAATGCAATATTTAAGATTTTGTTTGATATATCTGTGTCTACGAATAGAAACCTGCTCACAAGTACAATTGTAATCTGATCGTTTGTCAACTTTATTAAACATCCCTATTTACTCGGCACCCCACAGTGCAACGTCCAATCTCTGGATAGAAGTCGGCCAATCGAATCTGTGCCCTCTCTTCGCTCTGAAAAAGGGGCGAGGCGTGAAAAATCTGCTTATTATGTATATTATATTATGTATATTATATTATGTATATTATATTATGTATATTATTTCTGGAATTATGCAGTGTTAATAACATTTATATGGCTGTATTGAAATCGTGCTTGCACACGAATGTCAACGTGGCGGCCACAGCTGTTCTTATTCCATACAAAACAGGAAATTAGCGCGACAACCCACGACCCTGGATCGCACGGGCGCATAGAGGACATGGTGCCTGCGGCCTTAGTAGCGCAGAGGATCCGCACGAACAGATGCGCCGACCGCACAGAACACGGCACAGATGAAGCCTTCGAGATGAGCTGATACAAACACAAATCTACGTGCCCCCGTGGCCAGTGAAGCAGCATGCGGTGTGCGTGCGCACGCCCGCAGGGCACGTGCGTGCTGACCGTTCATATCCACTCGCTCGTTTGTATCTTACAGTGTAATCGAAGTAATAGCTCTCATGATAAATGTGCAGCTCTTCAATAATCCACGCTGAATGAAGTCCCTCCGCATGCTTTGTCAGTCATGGGGGCGGTTTGAACTTTCTGCGTCATGTTGGTGGTCAAGGGGGGGGGGGGTGACCCAGGAGGGGTGGTGACCCGAATTCGATTCCCGCTCATGGCCAACACCAGTAACGATAATCAGAACCGGTCCTGGGCCTCCCCTAGGTCAATTCGGCCTAACATGGGTACCTGGTGTGGTGTGTAAACATCAACAATGGGGAGACAAAGGCGGCCTTCATAGGTGCAACTTGCTGACACTTTCCCCAACGGTCACAGGGGGTCTTTGATGACCCAGGGCTGGTTCAGACACTACCTGCCACCGATGCTAGTGGCGATCTTAAATTTGACCTCGGGTCGTTGGGTTCACAGCGCGGCGTGATAGCCACTGCGCCACCCAGATTTTAATTATCAAAAAATAATCATAACGTAGATAAAGCCACTTTAGAAAAAATACAAATACAAAATAAACCATTATAATCCAAATATGGAATCAATACCACACATTCAACCACAATAATCATATCTGCTCGGACGTCGCAACGCCCCCGGTCCCCGCGTGCTGTCAATTCTCCGTCAACAGACGGACGAAACCCAATCAAAAGGTGGATGTGAGTGAGCGAGCGAACGGGCTGGTGGGTGGGCGAGCGCGTGGGGACGTCCACCTTTCCACTCGTCCACGGTGTGCTCGCGCTCGTCCAGGCGGCGGTCGCTGATCTGTGGCGACGGCTGCGCAGCGGAGAGGGAGGGAGAGCGACATCGTCACAACGGCTCGACACCGCACGTGTGGACGCCTCTCAGCGGCGTGCGGGATGGGAGAGGCGTTATCCCCACCCCACACCCCCCGAGAGTTGACGTCAAACGGGCCCGGATTCTCATCTCTGCGCACGTTACGTTTCGTCGGATTTTTTTTCGTGGAAATTTCTGCGTCTCTTGTTCACCAGCGGTGCGGTAGAATGACAAAAGTCAGCCCCCCCCGCTCCTTATCAAACGCCGTAACGAAAGAAAGAAGCGGAGTGCCAACTGCCAGGGCGGTGTGCGTCAGCCATTCTTTAAAAAATCTGGATCTGCACGCATGAATGTTGTTTGATTATCTCCAGTTAGAGCCCCTCAGCCAATGGTGTAAAGTACACATTATAATGGCAGGGGAGGAGGGGGGGTCAGTAATTCAACTGGACAACTGGTGCTGAATTCTCACAAAGTGATACAAATTGTGTTGACAGGGAGATGGTGAGTCCAATGAAGAGTCGCACGCTGTAACATGATTATTGTAGTGGCTGTTAGCCATGTAACTACTTGAATATTCATTCCCCTGCAGTAGCAAACATTTGGGAGACCCAATCTTCGTTTATGGTATTCTGGCGTGAGATTAGCAGGGCTTCATCTCTCAATTCGCGAGTAGAGTGGAGTAGGTGTTACGTCTCTAGTAGCACTCAGTCATAGCCAGAAGAAAACTGGATGTGGTATGCGGGGTGTAGAAATATTCCCCAACACTCCGATTTGGACAGATGTGGTGAAAATGAAGCCCCGTGCGTAGTACAGCTGCGAGTCTGTGAGCATATTCTAGAGGAGTAAGAGAACAGAATACCCTGAAGCAGAAGATTAGTGCTGGGTACAGTCACATTTGCCAATGTGATTTGAAACTTTGATCATTGCCTGCTGTGTTTCGCTAGTGAGGTGTGAATGTGCCATGTTGTTGAAGGAAGACTGCTGCGTGGATGTTGTCTTCATGCGGTCTGGGACTGTTTTGTTGTTTTTGCTGCCTTGCCCAATCTTAATAAATCGGACTTACATAATTGTATTTATTTATGATTTATATGTAGTCACTCGCTTATCATTTTCTCTACTTTGCACTCCTATTGTTGTTTGCATCGTTTGCTGTTGTGGCTTCCTGCCCCGCCCATACTGGACATCCAAGAGAAAGAGCTTCATAGCTCGTCGGTCAGTCTGAACAAGGAGGCTGCTTCTCAGCATGCTGTGTCGGCTGGCGCTCCTTTGAGTGCGGCGACATCGGAGTGGCGCCTTCGTGCCCGGCATGCGTTGCCCGCGAGAGGGCGCTGCACGGCAAAGTTAAGGGGACGAGTTCGAAAATGTGCTGCGCAGTTTCCGTGGACTCATAGGCGTGGCAAATCTGAGACTTGCAGGGAAGGCTGCCAATTCCTCAAGCTCTGTGGCCCTGTATTGCCATGAGTGGCCAAATCCATCAACGAGTGTTTATGCACGCGCTGCAAACACGCGCGCGTGCATGTACCCCCCAGGGCGTGCCCCTATGGCTACGGTGCGAAAGAAGTTCAACATACATCAGCACTGCTCTCACGTTTCTGGATAAGGAGTTAAAGGTTAAGGGTTAGGGGTCAGGGGGTTAAGGGTTAGGGGTCAGGGGGTTAAGGATTAGCGGTTAAGAGTTAGGGGTCATGGGTTAAGGGTTAGGGGTTAGGGGCTAGACGCCGAGATCCGGAGGGCGGGGTCCGTGAAGCCCACCGTCGCCGCTGCCGCTTACCCCGTTCACCTCGGCGGGGTCGTACCACACGTGGATGTAGGGGTGCTGCAGGGCCTCGTCCACCGTGATCCGCTTGAGGGGGTCGATGACGAGCATGCGGGACAGCAGGTCGCGCGCCTGGCTCGCTGTTTGCGGTTGGAGGGAGACGCACGCGGCAGTGGGTGGAGGGACAAAACCACCAAACATGAATCGTTTGGCCAGGATGGTCAACCGGAGTCAAGTTCCGGAATGTAAATCACGAGTATGGAGTAGAAATATCGATGAATATTCACTCAAGGGGGAACAAATATTCGGGAGGGGAAGGTGGAACTAATGTTCGTTTGCCGCCAGCTTGGTGACTCTGACGTGCCCAGCATTCATTCACCATCCGAGCATTCACGTCCGTCACACAAATGGGTGAGCGGGAGCTGGGGGGGGGGGTTGAAAGGGGGGGGGGCAGCACCTTTGAGCTTGCTGTGCTCCGAGTCGGCGGGGAAGAGTGCGTCAGGGAAGAGCTTCTCGAAGCTGTACCCCGGGTAGCGCGGCCTCGTCTCCACGTAGTTGCGCACCGTGGGCTGCAGGCGCTTCATGAACTCGGACACGGGCGTGCCCAGCTGCTCGATCACCTTGTTCCACTGGTCGATATCTGCGGCGGCGCACGGCTCAGGAGATCGACGCAACGGGCGACGGTAAACGATCGCAAAAGCGAGAGCTTCGGCACGACGCACGCGGGAATGCGTCCTAGTACCACGCCAGACCGCCTTTGTCTCCTTAGTGGCGATGTTAACACACCGCATCAGGTACTCATTTGAGGCTGAGTCCACCTAGGGGAGACCCAGACTTAGTTTAGAGAATCGTCACTGGTGTCGGCCGTGAGCGGGAATCTAACTCGGGTCGCCGGGTTCATCGCGCAACCGTGCTAACTGCTATTCTACTATAATATTGTTTTTTTGGGTTAGATCATGTAAATATAAATGTGTCGTTAAACCCGCCACCACCCGACACAGCCAACTAGTAAGGGGTGTTACGTAAATAGAACGTGCCAATTCGTCACTAGTACAGCACACCGGCGTGTTGGAGAGAAAATACACAAAATCTACAATCTGAGTACGACGTTTCGCCAGTAATTACAACTAGCTTCATCAGGCGACAGACAGATTTGTGGAGAAATCCTCCCGTTTAGTTCCTTAAATAGAGGGATATATGTGATGACGTCACTTGTAAACCCTTCACGTGTCAAGGTGGGGGGGATTAATGAGATGCATAGCAATTACAATGGGTATCTAATACAGGTTGGGTTATTCATTAGCATATGATATCGGTCGCGAAATCACACGTGCTATACTACTGCTCTCCACACATAAATGAAACATGCACACGCGAAAATATCTACATACATGACACGTATGCGTGTCCTAATATTTAAATGCAGGATACAGTCACGTCCGGGGAAGAGGATCTTGTGGCGCACCATCTCTCCCATGATGCACCCCACTGACCAGATGTCCACTGCACACACCGTCACCCACGGCAGCGACACAATCAGCACCAACGCCGCAACCAACAGCGCCGCGAAACACTCACGCCAACACCACCGCTGCCAAAAGACAAAGATCCACCAAACTGTCTGTTTGGGGCAAGTGCTGTTAGCGAGTAGCACTTATGAAGAACTGGCTTGGCACACGAGGGGGTGGGTGGCCAACACCATGCCCGGCCACCTTTGCCCAGTGCTGTTCACACAACACGCACACCAGATACGCATTGACAGCTGAGTTGACCTAGGGGATGCTCAGGACCAGTTCAAATGTTCACGACTGTTTTTGGTCTTGAGTGTTAATCAAACGCAGGTCGCGTTGCCGGGTTCGCAACGCTCCCCACTACACTACCACAACTACTACCACCAACACCAATTCCTATAAAACCATCAATCACAAACTAAAACTAAACTATTTTTTTAATTTTACCAGGTAAGGCCCACTGAGCTACATAGCTCTTTTTCAGCAGCGACCTGGTCACAAATGATAGCTCAACGAAGTGGCTTATCATCACATGGACATTTTATAGCAGACAAATACGCATGTCGATTCTAAATGTGGAGGGAAAAATTGGAGGACCTGGATAAAAATCCGCACGACCACGGGGAGAACATGCAAACTCCATATATACAACAGGCGTCATAGTCAAGATCGAAGCCACGACCTCCTGTGTACCAGACAAGGTGGTTAACATCTCGCCACCGTGGCACCCCAACAACACCGCCAATGCCAACACTACCACCAACACTAATTCCAACACCACCACTACCACGACACCGCAACGAGTAGCCGAGTGGTGGCATTTGGTGGCTTTGGCGTGCGGTCACGGACTGAGGCTGGCGGCGACTGGGGACTGGGGAGGGGGGTGGGGTGGGGGCAGGAAGCGGCGGTAGAGAGGTGATCGCCGTACCGTTCTCGGTGTAGCCCATGCCCAGGATGACCTCTGGCGCGCGGTAGTACCGCGTCACCACGTACGGGGTCATCATGAAGCTGGTGGCGGCTGTGCGTGCCAGCCCAAAGTCCAGGATCTTGAGCGAGCAGTCGGACTTCACCACGATGTTGCTGGGCTTGAGGTCCTGTTCGGGGAGGGGGAAAGCGGAAAACATCTAACCGAATCGATCACGAGACTTGTTCCGGGAGCGAGCGCCGTGCCGCCCTGGCTGCCCACGCCGTTGTCAACAGGCCTCGTCGCTGTTGCCGTTGTGGGGCCCTGGTTGTCTTGTCCCAGGTTGCTCTCTCCCCCCGTGTTTCCCTTCCCTGGCCACCGCCACCACCCACCCCCACCACGACCCCTCCAACCATCACCTTCTGCCCGAGCGTACTCTTTGTTACGCGAGGCATTTAGAGATACGCATCCCTCCACCCCACTGTGTGTCCCTCTACGAGCCTTGAGTGTAACCACCAGTTCCCCACACGTTTCCCCCCCTGCGTATTGTTCCGCCGATGTGGGGCGAGCGTCGGGGCATACCCTGTGTATGATCCCGGCAGAGTGCAGGTGCTTGATACCGCACAGCATCTGGTAGAGCAGGTACGAGATCCGCTCGTGATCCAGCTCCATGCGGATCACCTGGCACAGGTTCGCGTCCATCAAGTCCATCACGAGGTACCTGGGCGGCCGCCACAACACGCGACACGGCGTCGTACGGGGGGCACGGCAGTTTACCTTCGCTTCCACGGGTGTCAGATTTGCAGGGGTTGCAACTTTTATTTATATATTTTATTTACCAGGTAAGGCCCTCTGAGCTATACAGCTCTTTTTCAGAAGCGACCTGGACACAAATGATAGATCATCGCAGTGGCTTATCGCGTGAAAATTAATAGCAGCCAAATACTCTGAACTTACGTTGATTCTAAATGTGGAGGGAAAAACGGGATGATCCGGGGAAAAATCCACACGACCACGGGGAGAGAGACACGCAAACTCCAAATATACAAGCATCAGGGTCGGGATTGAACCCACATCCTCCTGTATACCCGCCGAGGTAGTTAACATCTCGCCAGCGTGGCGCTCTCTCTTTTCCCCACCAGGACGGCCACCTCGAGTGGACTCGTGCTCGCGAGCGCACACAACACGGCGATTCGCACAAGTGCTGCAAAAGCAATAGCTGCTCTTTCTTGTTCTGAGCGTGAGCGCGAGGCAGGAGATTTCAGGGCTGCGCCTTTACCATGGGCACTGGAAAAGAGGGGCGAATTTTTCCCGGAACTAAATTGAGTCGACGGACAAATTGAGAACGGCAAAAATCGAATGGCGGCGGTTTCCAGATTTTTCCGAGTTACCCACGTGTTGGGCAGGTGCCAACCATGCATAACAGGCATCATAGGCTACGGCGCGGGTTTGTGCCCACCTGCACACAATGATGCTAAATTAATGTAGCAACCGATAGCACGGGTGGAGTGGTGGCACGACGGTTGGCACGCGGTGACCAGATTTCGATTCCCAGTCACGGCGAACACCGTTGGCATCAAGTGATGTCAGAACCCCGGTCCTGTCATCTCCCTGCCCCTTTAGAAATTTGTTCTGACCAGCGTGCTGAAGTATGGTAAGACACAAATCCATGACCGACATGGCGTGAGGGGATGAGAGGGACCAATGGGTGGATTGAAGAATAACGGTTACCAATTTTATTTTTTATTCATATCTCAACCAAGGTTTGCAGCAAATCAGGATCAGGGTTTATGGCAATCAGTGGAGATGTTAACTACCTCGCCAGGTATACTGGATGTCGTGGATTAGATTCGACCCTGACGCCTCAAAATTTTGAGTTTGCATGTTCTCCCTGTGGTCGTGTGGCTTTTTCTCCGGGTGCTCCGGTTTTTCTCTCCACATTTAGACTCAGCATGCATTTAGAGTACTGTATTTGGCTGCCTTCAATTTCCGTGTGATAAGCCACATCGTTAAACTGTCATTTGTGGTCACTTCTGAAAAAGAGCTACATAGCTCAGTGGGCCTTTCTGGTACAAGCAAAAAATTGCTTCGTTTAGTTTTAACAGCACATTTCTCAATTACAGCCGAGTTTGGCAGTGAGGTTGATGGCAGCATGTGTATAAATACATATCAAGTGGTGGCTTACACATCTTGAAAGTCCTCCTGGGATTTCTGAGGCGAGAACACGTTCAGCAGCTTAATGATCTAGAGGACACCGACCACACACGCGCACAGAGACCACACACACGCACAGGGACACCGACAGGCACACACACAGATGAACGCCCACACGTACTCACAAGACAAAGATCCCCGTATAGCCTCAACAGACTGTTGGGGAAAGTGCTGTTAGCGAATACCTATGAAGGCCGGCACGACACACGAGGGGGTGGGTGGACAACACCACGCCCGGCCACCTTTGTCTCCCCAGTGGCGATGTTTACAAACCACACCAGGTACTCATTTGAGGCCGAGTCGACCTAGGGGAGGCCCAGGACCGGTTCTGATTATCGTTACTGGTGTTGACCATGAGCGGGAATTGAACTCTGGTCGCTGGGTTCGTGTCGCAGTGTGCTAACCACGACACGACCGCTCCCCACTCCCGTGCTCACACCCACAGAGACACACGCCCGCACGCCGACAGACGTGCGCGCACACACACACAGATGCATGCACAGACATACTCACACCCACAGACACACAGAGACTAACGCCCACGTAGACAAAACAAAGACACACAGGTACAGGCACGTAAAACACATCTCGGTTACACAACCACGCATCAGTGAGACTTCAACAACGGATTAAAACATCACGGCGGGTGTGACGGAGTTCACAACTGTCCCTTGCACCCTTGCGACAGTTTCATGTGCGGCACAATAGAAATGGGCACCTCCAAAATTCTTTAGTTTTGAAGCGAACAGCGTTAGTTGGGTTTCATTATGAGGGTCCCTGTTTCCTGTAGACTTCAACAAGGCATGCACGCGGGCGGTCAATATGGACTTCTGGCCAGTGGGTGACTGGCGGGTCTCTTAGTATTAATCTTGTGTGCACACCAGCCACGTGGCGACTGTACACATATAAGTAGAACCCCACCTCAGATTAGTACAGTAGCCAACTGTACGAATCTGAGGTGGGGGAAATAATTAGAATAAATAATATTACTTAAATAACATTGCTTTGGATACACCCAGTGGCATTCCTTTGTTCAAATCGCTTCCGTACTTAATTTGGGCCTGATGCAGGCCCGCCTATCAGTGCGACAGACACATTGTTGCAATTTGCAGGTATTCATAATAATCGAGTAGCTATCAGAATATGTGTTTATACTGGAGGAATCCTGTGAGCTAAAAAAAAAGAAATCTCTTCTTCAGCGATGTCCAGCAGAGGAGGGTAAGATCGTTACAACAACAAATCTGGAGCGGCCAACATGTCTAAATTTCGAACGTGGAACAAACTCCCAATAAGAACGTTGCGAAAAGGAGATGTGTTGTCTGTGCTTGCATGGTAAAAGGGTCATGGTAAAAGGGTGCCTTATTTGGGGGGAGGGGAAGGGTTGTAGCATTTCAGAAAATGCACGATGATCCCAGAGCTCCGTAAGATGGCAGCACGGCAATGGAATCTTCCACCTGTGCGAAGCTGAGAGTGTTACGCCCTTGACGAGCGGTCTTGTCATCTGGGTACTCTGGTGTCAGGGCGCCACGGTGGCGAGATATTAACTCTCTCACCTGATATACAGGAGGTCGTTGTTTTGATCCGAACCCTGACACGTGTTAATTTGGAGTTTGCATGTTCTCCCCGTGGTCGTGTGGATTTTTCACCGAGTCCTCCGGTTTTTCCCTCCACAATTAGAATCCGCACGCATTTAGAAAAAACCTAAGAATATGCGTTTAGAGTGTTTGGCTGTGATAAATGTCCACGTGATGGTAAGCCACTTCGTTGAGCTTTCATTTGTGGCCAGGTCACTTCTGAACAAGAGCTACATAGCTCAGTGGGCCTCACCTGGTAAAATAAAAACATGTTTACAGGTCATAGTTTCCTGCCAAAGTGAAGCCAAACACTCGTGTGTGGAATTGACAAAAAAAACATCCCAATGCCGGACCCTCTTGTGACTCCACGAGGCTTTCCAGGTAAATATAGGTCATTAGACCTCCAGTCACTTAAGATTTAATTCACAATTGCTATCAATGTTTTGACCTCGGATTGGGCCTCAAAGAGTATGATTCAGATTACGGTTAAAATCCATACAGCAACCCTCCAGCACACGCGTGTGTGTGTAGTACAGCCCAGGGGCGCAGGGCACCGTGTGGTGAGTGTCCACCACAAAGATAAAGAGCCCCCCTGTAGCCTTGACAGCGTGGAGTGGTAGTGTAGCAGTTAGCGTGCTGCGCTACCAACCCGGCGACACGAATTCGATTCTCGCTCAATGCCAACAGTAGCGACGGATATATCTGTTTGTAAACATCGCCACTAAGGAGACAGACGCGGCTGGGCGAGCGTAGCACTGGCCACCCACCCACTCGAGTGCCGTGTCGGCCTTCATGAGTGCTGCTCGCTAAACAGCACTTGCCCCAACAGTCTGTTAAGGCTCTACGGGGAATCTTTGTCTTTGTGTTGTGCGGTGGGAGACGGCAGCCATGGGAGGCACGGGAGGCGACTCACATTTTTGTGGTTCACGCATTTCATGAGCACCAGCTCTCGGAAGGCGCGCTTGGCGTGCGTCTGGTTCTGGAAGGGCCGGCTCAGCTTCTTGATGGCCACATTGCGGTCGATGATGGTGTCATAGGCAGCGCTGCGAGAGAGAAAAAAAACCACAACGGCACACGGCCTCAGCCACCGGGAAAAATCCCATGCGGCGCTCCAGGTAAAGCCGTGCAGCTGGGCATCTGACACAATGAAGGAAATACAATTTGCACGTTTTAATCGAATGTTTTATTCATAATACAGGTTTTTCTTGGGTTAGATCGTGTAAATATATAAGTGCCATTAAACCCACCACCACCTGACACAGCCAACTAGTAAGGGTTGTCACATAAACAGAACATGCCAATTCGTCACTAGTACAGCACACCGGTGTGTTGGAGAGCAAAGCCACAACATTTACAATCTGAGTAGGACGTTTGCCAGTAATTACAACTAGCTTCATCAGGCGACAGCCAGATTTGTGGAGAAATCCTCCCGTTTCGTTCCTCAAATAGAGGGAGAGATCTGATGACGTCACTTGCGTGCCCTTGGTCGCGAAATCCTACACGTTAAACTCGAATGTTTTAGTTGAACACTTTACTTGAACGTGTAATCATACGCAACGGCGACTTTGCTGCACGACTAGCGTGGCACCACGCACGCTGGTCAGTGGTGGCCGTTGCAGGAGAGACCACGCGATACGTAGCAGGAAACCAAACTCAGTCGGAGCGAGACATTTTGGTGGCCGGGGTCACGTGCCGCCCCCTCCCCGCCCCACTGCTGCAGTGCTGGCATGGCCCGACCAACATTATCCGGCACTTGCCGCCACAGGTTCGGGGGGCACCCCCCTCGGGATGAGCACTGGGGGGGGGGGGCTGGGGGGCGCTGTCTGCCCCACCGTTGACCCGGCACGGTGTGCGTGGGCGTGTGCGGAGTGGTGGTGCAGCGGTTAGCGCGCCGCGCCACGAACCCGGCGAACAGAATTTTATTCCCTTTCACGGCCAATAACGGTGACGGTAACCTTAACCGGTCTTGGAGCTCCCTTGGGTTGACTCAGCCTTAAATGAGTAGCCGGTGCGCAATGCGTGAATATCGCGACTCGATTCGGACGTTTTGGTGGTACACCGGTGCAGCATAACACACCGGTCCTCATAAAAGTCTAACACTTTGATTTGAACTGACATGTGTCTTCTGACTGCTTCGACATCACGAGAACTGACTTTGATGCACCACCCTGCAAGATTTTCTGACCGGGGTTGCGAACCGCGGCATTGTAAAAAATAATTGTGGAAAAAAAAATCAGCTTTTTTATACCATGCACCGGTGTACCCCCTATATGTTCATTTGTCCCCACAAACAGTCTGTGAAGGTGTTTTTAACGTTGTGGACACACACGAAATTGATTTTGCCAAGACGAGGGTACTGTGCAAGCCCACTGGCTATCAGCTCAGATTCGTTCATGAAGCCATCCAGATATATAGACACAGACACAATTTCAACCGAGAAGATGGGTGCAAACTGAGCAATCATTGGAAGGATGTTATTAACCAGGTGAGGTCATAACTGGCTGTGATGTTCCCTCCCTACCTACCCATGTTAGCAGTTATTTTCGACTCTCTGGGTTACATTCACTAACACAGCCTCCATTAGCTGTGTTAGTAAATGGCGGCTTGCCATCCTTCCCACCTCCATGTGGTGATGGCTCTTTCCGAGCTCTCTCCGAGCTTACATTTACAAGCAAATTTCTAACATTGACACGCTAATCTCTCACAATACAATGGCCACCCCCACAGCTTCATTTGTCAAGAATTCTGCGATCTTACATTTACATGCAAATTTCGTCTTTAGCCCCGCCCACTGACCCTTGGGCTAGACCCATCTCAAACCTTTATAACTCCCTGCCTGAGCAGCGCTCCCACCATATATTCTAAGCAGCTCTCCCGCTATATTTTTCACCTGATGACGATTGCTTGTGCTGCGATCGAAACGTCGTGATATCGTTATTATTTTTATTATTTGTTCAATCTACGTGTCTTTACCGAAAGACCCAAGGAATATAGTCTGCCAAGGCTACCGGGGAGATCCTTGTCTTTGTGCGCCGAGGGCTCACCACACGATGCCCTGGGCCCCCGAGCCGACGGGGCGCAGGTTCTGGTAGCGCTTGCACACGGCGAAGGTGGAGTCGCCCACCTCCACGCTGTAGAAGTTCTGCGGTTCCTGCACGGGCCGCCCGCTCATGGTGAAGAAGTGACGGCCAAGGAACGCCACATCCAGCCCAGTGCGGAATGCCTGCGAGGAGCCACAAACGACGTTGCGACGTGTCGCCACGTTCCAGCGCCACCGCATCCAGGATGCCTCTCGCCGCCGTGGCTGTGGCCACAACCAAGACGGCCGCTGCGGCACGGCGCTTTCAGACGCGCTTCTGCGGCCGTCTGGAACGCTCTTGAGTTATGCACTTTCAAATCGAGACTGAAAACTAATTTCTTTAGAGATGCTTTTCATGCTTAGCTTGTTGTCCTTCCCTCACACCTTCGATTTAGCACGGTTGGCCACGTATGGTGCAAAAGAAGTTCAACGTACATACATACAAGCAACGTGCGGCCTGCTCGAGTCTGCCAGTGATAAAAAAATGTATTTTAGCACCCAGCATGAATAATAATTGCAATAATTTTTATTCATAAGGCACACTTAAACAATGGAATGCATACATGAATAAAGCATCCAGGATACCTCTCGATATGGCTGTGGCTACTGCTAGTCACATGCCACCTCCTCCTGCTCTACCCAGGGCAATGAAAATAATCAAACTAAAAACGAAACTATTTTCATTCTACTCAACAAGGTAAGGCCCAGTGACCTATTCAGCTCGTTTTCAGAAACGAACTGGCTGCAAATGATAGCTGAACAAAGTGGCTTATTATGTGGATATTTATAGCAGCCAAATACTCTAAATGCATGTTGATTCTCAATGTGGAAGGGAAAACCGGAGGACACGGACAAAATCCACGCGACCACGGAGAGAATACGCAAGCTCCAAATATTTAGGCGTCAGGATCGGGATCAAACCCATTGCCTCCTGTATACCAGGTTAGGTAGTTGACATCTGGCAACCGTGGTGGCCCAGTGAGAAATTCAGCGATGCGTCAAAGCACCACAGATCCATGGGCATTAGACAATCTAAAAAGCCTTCCTGATCAAAACAATCCAAATTGCAACTTTTGATTTACAGGATACATTTACAGCATTTTTTCAATCTTAAACCTATGATGGTTTTGTTCAAGTATATTCCCATTGCATTCCTCCCAGGTCTCCCTTGAAAGATAACTTTTGCCCAAATGGATTATTGCCTGGTTTTAAATAAACTTTCGATTGGTCACATCGGTTTATCCAGGAAAAATAAATGTATCGCTGGACTCATTTTCTGACCACCTCCTTTCATTGGGATGACGTATTTCCACGTCTTTGTTTTTAGCGTAAAAGAGGCAAACCAAAGTGCCCGGAGAAAAATCACAAACATCCACAGGGTGATACTGGCACTCGGAAGAGACAGGTGCTTGAACGCAACGTGTGAGAATTGGGGGGGGGGGGGGGGGGAAGTACTTCGGTTGGTCGGTCGCAACTCGTCGGGGAAATCGCAATCGCTGCGATTGGCAACTCTGCCTCCATTAAGAGCAATGCGGCGAGGACAATGGGCGCGATGGAACCGCGGAATGGCCTTGATTGGCGATTACCTGGCAGAAGGCAATTTTCACGTCCAGATCTCTTCCGTTGCGGTAGTTGAGGAGGCAGAGACTCATGAAATCCTGCAAAATACAGACAGAAAGCGTGAGCTGCCGGGGAGCTGTTCGCTCTAGCCTGGGCAAGAACAAGTGGGGCCAAAGGACGGTCCCTTCCCACAATACCTTTCCCCCAATGAACCACAATACCTTGGTGATCTCGTCAAGGGGCATAAACCATCATGCGACCTCCAGTCATCCTCGCAGCAGCGGCAATTGGCTAACCATAGAACAAAGACGGTCACCACATCGCACGCTTTCAGACGCGCTTCTGCGGCCGTCTGGAACGCTCTTCTGATATTAGGAAGCCACTGGAGCTATGCACTTTTAAATCATCTAGATTAAAAACTAATTTTTTTCAAACTGATTTTTGTGTTTAGTTTGTTGTCCTTCCCCCGCACCTCCGATTAGCACAGTTGGCTGCATACGATGCGAAAGAAGTTCAACATACACACACACACACAATATATTCCCAGTCGGCGGCGCGTCACGGCACGGTGCACGCGCACAGCCCCGGTTGCTTGAGTGTCGGTCGGGTCTGCCCGCGATACATTTCCACACCCGGTTACTAGCACATCCAGTTTACCTCTCCTCGAATGCATCTATTGCAGCCGAGTCAAACGCTCTTTTTACACTCCACAAACGCTCGACGTAACAACGGGCATTTGATATTTCATCCGTCTTTTCTCCAACATGACTTAAGCCTGTTTGTGGTGAGGGCCTGTGGTTTAGACCAGTGTTTATTGACTGCAAGGCCCGCGGCCTCTTGTGGCCTTGAGTGCGGCCCCCTGAGGTGCGGTCCCCGACAAGTCACGTGAAAACATTAAAAAGCATCGTGCTATCGTACCCAACGGATTAAAATGGGTGGCGGCCCTCACACTGATGCATTATCGGCAAAAGTGGCCCCCGTCTGAAAATGAGTGACGAACACTGGTTGAGACGAACGTCCGACACTGGTGGTGAGACTAGGCCACAGAGAAGGCTGTCTCTGATGTCAGTTTCATCGACAATGCAACATATCATTGTCAGAGCATGTCTGTCTGCATGTTTTGCCACAAGTACTTGTGGTTGATGCAGATATGATTCCTTGCAAAAGGTATCTATTTTGTGTTTGAACATCTTAACACCTTTTTTGTAGTATTGCCAATAAGGGTAAAACCTCTTCTTTTGTGTTACACTAGAGGAGTTGTCACGTACCTGCGTGTTTTTGTGAGTGCTATCCCCTCATGTGCACGCGTTGTCTCCAGGTACTCCAGTTTCTCCAGAATTGGGTCACGCGGAATGCGGGCAGAGATCCTCCTGGAAATAGAAGTCCTGGGACTCAGTGGAGGCGAGGGAGGCGTTGGTCGGGGAGGGTTTCGTTGTGAGGAACTTTGTGGAGCAGTGGCGCTGTGGTTGGTTGGCACACCGCACGATGGGACCGAGTTAAGATGCCGGGTCACAAATTCACGGCGGTGGCGCGTGATACATCTGAACCAGTCCTGGGCCAACCAATTCGTGAAACCCGCACCGACTGGCGTGGTGAAGTATGGTCGTCCTTTCCCATCCCCCCACACGTACGGTGTGAAAAAATGTCAACATACATACTGTACGTACAAACAACCCCCACGGCCAATACAGTGTGGGGGGGGGGGGGCTTCATCCAGCAGCAGAAAGGGCCTCAACACATAAATGCATTTTCTTATCTGCCCCCCCTTACCCACAATCTCCCCTTCTAATATTTATTATCTCATCCCACTCCCCCCCCCCGACCTAAGGTCCCCACAAGGTTGGGGCACGTGCCTTAACCGCTGCCCCACATAAGCACGCCTCTGAAGTGCCGACAGCCCCCCCCCACCCCGTGCCTCCACGCCCGACACCCCTCGTGGGTTTTTGACACAATAAAAAATATATTTTCAGAAATAATTAATTTTTTTATCAACGTATTGCCCGTGACCAAAATAATCGGAAATGTGCCCATTCTCATTAGATCTTGGAAGCTAAGCAGGGTTGGAACCTGGACGGGCGAGCAGCACACATAAGAGGTGTGAGAGGGCTGCTACGGGGCTACGTTGTGACTAGGAGAGAGCAGTGCAGAAACAAAAACTCTGTTGTACTGTACTTCCATGCTCACCGCCGTCACAAACCAACTCCACCCACCCCCTGGGCTGATTCATCTTGGTGAAGTATGGTCCAACAACTACCCACACGACACTGCGGTGAGGCTCTCATCCAGCAGTGGATTGACAAGGGGCTGTGACACTAATTGTACTGTATATGATTCCGCTAGCTTCATCGGTCACCGCGTGCACATGATTTAAGGGCTGCATGCGAGCAGTTTAGGGAGATGGCAAAATGTATCGTTGTTTCGGTGCGTGTGTGCAGCAAAAATTCAGAAAGTTGGCACAGTGGGGGGGGGGGGGGGGCTAGAGCTGGTGGTGCATCTACTGGTAATGTCAGTCAGTCAACCCATGGCACCTGGGTCTGTCCCGAGACCTCCTGTCAGCGAGCCTTCGACACTTCACGTGGCAGCCTCAAAGTGCACCTAGCCTGGCGTTGCCGTCACCTAGTGGCGAATGGCGGGGATTGGTATTGGTGCATACACACGAATATATATACTATGAAGCCAGCCCGGTGATGTAACGGTCCAGCGATCTCACCTCGACATCTGGGTATTGCCGGTTATCAGTGCGAGGCTCATTTGTCACAGCCAGGGCCCTGTCCGCGAGGCGGCACGGCGTGCTTCCCCTGAATGCTAAAAGGCCCCGCGGGGGCTGAGTGGAAAGGAGGGTCTCCATTGTGTGCCACGTCACGTCCAAATTATGAATCCACATCCGTCGTTGAAACGAGCGCCGTAATAAAGCAAGACGTCGCTGGCTGGACAACAATTGGGCTTGTAATTGTCTTTCTTTTCAAACAATAAGAACCACTGCGGTCGAGGAGGACTCCGTGGCTCTGCTGCTGCTGCTGATGCTGGACAGCTCTCCAACGTGTTTCTTTGGTTTTGGGTTGTAAGCTCTTGAGCCCGACGCGGGGGGGGGGAGCGAAACGTCAGACGCCGTGACAAAAAAAACACAAGCGGCGAAAAAACCCACACCTGAGAGCCACGCAGCTCAGCCGTGCACACACCATTGGACCGTGTGCCCCCCCCCCCCCCCATTACACCAACTCATTTTCAATGTAATTTTCGGAGTCAAAGGACCGCCCAGCCACCTCACACCCCCAGCGCCCCTCCCCCCACCCCCCAAAAAATGTGTTGAAAAGTGTTTCATATAATTTAATGTGTGAGTCGTTTAAATCCCATCAGGTCACACCACACGAGCAGGAACGATGCACGAGAGTGTTGAGATGGAAGGAGGACAAACGAATGCACGTAAACACGTACAAAAGACAAGGATCCCCCGCATAGCCTTCACAGACTGTTGGGGCAAGTGCGGTTAGCGAACAGCACCTATGAAGGCCGGCACGGCGCACGAGGTACTCATTTGAGGCTGAGTCAACCTAAAGGAGGCCCAGCACCGGGTTCAGATAATCGTCACCGGTGTTGGTCGTGAGCGGGATTCAAACTCGGGTCGCCGGGTTAGTAGCGCAGCGCAATAACCGCTACACCACCTCTACACACGTACACACACACAGACACACGTACACACACACAGACACACGTACACACACACAGACACACGTACACACACACAGACACACGTACACACAGACACACACGTACACACACACAGACACACGTACACACACACGTACACACACAGACACACACGTACACACACACAGACACACGTACACACACACGTACACACACACAGACACACACGTACACACACACAGAAACACGTACACACACGTACACACAGACACAGTGGCGTCTGCGCTAAGCACAGGCTAACCAGGCAAAGGCAAATGGCCCCAAGTAGCGAAAGGCCCGTATCTCTCCCTTAACCCCCGACTACCCCCATAAGTATATAAAATACAAGGATGCATCGAATATGAATCACAAATCCTAATACACACAAGAGACCAACTGACAGGCGAAACAAACATTTCACGTCTCATCTCTCTGCTGCGCGCATCCATCTTATATCACTGTATATCACTCACCATTCTACAGCATCTCTGTGTTTGTCCACATTCTTCTTATCTCACGACACACATCTCTCTCTGTATCTGTCTTATATTTTCATTCATTTTAAGGGATCCTAAAACTAATTCCTGCAGAGGACATCCCCCTCCCCCGCCCACCAGCCACTGGGTACGCATCAAAGACAAAGGTCCCCCATATAGCCTTAACACGCGTTTGGGGACAAGTGTTGTTTAGCGAGCACCTATGACGGCCGGCACGGCACACAAGGGGGTGAGTGGCCAGCACCCCGGCCGCATTTGTCTCCCCAGTGGCGATGTTTACACATCGCACCAGGTACTCATTTACGGCTGAGTCGACCTAGGCGAAGAACGGGACCGGTTCAGATAATTTGGTGGTGGCCATGAACAGGAATCGATCGCCGGGTCGCCGGGTTCGTCCCGCCGCGCGCTAACCGCTGCCCCACCGCTCCCCGCGGGGTTCAGCATCACCGCCGCCCGTGCTCGCAGACGCACACAGGTCAATCAATAAATCACAAGCATTTGCAAAGCGCACACACAGACACACTCCACCATACGCTCCACCTCAAAGCATCGGCATCGTGGTGCCCAAACGCATCATCACCATTAATGAGCACAAACCGGCCTCGATGTAGATTGATGTTTTGCCAGATGTGTTTGATATTGATATTATTATTAATTTCGCTTCTTCCTGATGTCTTTCGTTCACACTGCGGGCTCTTCGTGTTTGCATTGGAAGCGTGAACGAAGATGGTATTGCATGCGCATCGCCACCACCGTCATCATCATTATCATCAATCAGCCACGATGAATCCACTGCTGGAGGAAGGCCTCCCCCCAAGCTTTGCTTTTGCGGAAACAATAAGTGGCATAGGCAGGCTATTCCTGCTGGGTTCAGATTGTTTTGTTTGTTATACACCGCACATACAATGTATGCCGTTGACACACGCGTGCGGAATATAAACATTTACTGCCCTTTGTCAACCCACTGCTGGATGATTGCGTCTCTCCAAGCCATATGCTCGTCTCGGGAGTCGTTTGAATGTGGGCCAACCCATGCGGTTCGGTCGAATGCAGGATCAGAGAGGCGCGTGAACGAACGTGCGATGGCATCGCGCCGTAGAACAATGGCTGTGGCTGTACTCGCCACGTCGCCCCTGCAGACGACAGTAACCCTTCGTGCATCCTATTCACCTTGGCGGACGTTCACCGGCTCAGCCATGCTTATCTTCCAAAATCCGCCCAGATTCAGACTGCTGGAGCAAGCGCTGTGAGCGAGCACCTATGAAGGCTACCGGCACGGCACACGAGAGAGGGCGGGGTGGACAGCACCACGCCCGGCCGCCTTTGTCTCCCCGTGCCGATGTTTACAAAACGGCCCAGGTGCTCATTCAAATATCAGCCGCTGTTGTTAATCGTGAGCAGGAATCGAATTGAGGTCGCCAGGTTCGTAGCGCAGTGCGCTAACCACTGCGTCACCGCTCCCCTATATTAGACAGGATGACGTGCTCACTAACAGCACTTGTCCCAACAGTCTGTTAAGGCTCCAAGGGGGAGACGTGCCTTTGTCTTATACAGGCTATACACACCCACACATACAATTGTGACTTACAAGACATCAATTCAAGTTGTATGTCGATTAATGTTGGCTTTAAGATATTCGTAAGAGACACATCAGAGGGCAATTCAGCAACATTATTGTTGTACTTTACTCCGCTCCAACGTCTATGCCCCCCCCTCACCAACCCACATTGGCCGAAGTGGTATACTGTATTGTTTAATAACCCTCACGATCCGCAGTGGATTGACACAAGGCTGATACAACGCATGGACGTGTACAACTAAAAAACACATCTCGGTATCCGGCACTAATCGAGGATGATGTTGGCACGTCCATTCACTAAGCCCCACGTCAGTCCGTGGCACAACTATTTGTTTGACATTGTAAACAACAGCAGCAGCTACGATCATCCACCGATGGGCGAAATCTTGTCACCGATCGGGCCGCCATCTCTTAATGAATGATCTCTCTCTCTAACCAAGTCATAGTTCTCGCTCAATTCGCGTTAAAACTCACGCAGCCTTCGTGTCCCAGACGAGGGAAGATATCAACACAGCTCGGAGAGAGGACCAAAGTGTGAGGTTTCACGACAAGGGGTGATGACGGTGGTGATGGTGGTAATGATGGTGCTAATGCTGATGATGGTGGTAATGGTGATGATGGTGGTAATGGTGATGATGGTAGTAATGGTGATGATGGTGGTGGTGATGATGGTGGTGATGGTGGTGGTGGTGATGATGGTGATGATGATGGTGGTGATGATGGTGGTGATGATGGTGGTGGTGATGGTGGTGGTGGTGATGATGGTGGTGATGATGGTGGTGGTGGTGGTGGTGATGGTGGTGGTGGTGATGATGGTGGTGATGATGGTGGTGATGATGATGGTGATGATGCAGGCCGATGTGACAACCGAGGCATGGAACGTGCCGAGAGGGCGCTCACAACTCGGATGGGGCCACGGGACCATCAGCTGGTGTTGCAGGTGGGGTGCTATCCAGGTGTTGTTACATGTATGTTGAACTTCTTTCGCGCCGTACGTAGCCAACCCTGCTAATCGGAGGTGGAGGGAGCACGACAAACTAAACACAACAAAGCACGAGAGATGGCCACTATTTTTGGGGGGAGGTTTTCATCCAGCAGTGGAATGATCATGGCCGATAATGGTAATTGTGGAAGATGACACAACGCTCTTAATCCAAAGCGTCAGTCACCCCGCTGTTGTCATAACCGGCCGTGTAAACCGCTCATGTCATTAATGCCGGTGGCTTCATCTCATTGTAATTTCAACATCACCAATTACATTTGTGGAGGATTTACTTGCCGTCTCACGCGACTGTAACAATGCGCCACGCCAGGGCCATCGTCATAATCACTCGTTCGCTACGACCACTGCTGAATGGAAGCCTCCCAAGCTGTCGCCTCCAACAAGCCGATCTCATAATCTTCAGCCAGTCAGCCATGGTTAATCCACTGCTGGACGAATGATTCTGCCAAGGCGTTGAGATCTCTCACCGTGGCCCCGCGATGTAATTATCAACACCACCCACAACCAACCCCCACCCACCCACCACCCCCCATCACACCGCCACCCCCTCCGCCACCCCCCCCCCCCGACACCACCCCCCCGACACCACCCCCCCGACACCACCCCCCCCCCGATACCACCCACCCCCCCACCGCCCCCCCCACCACCCCCACCACCATCACCCACCACCATCACCCACCACCACCCTCCCCCTACCCCACCCCCCCACCACCACCACCTTCCCACCACCCCCCCACCACCCCCCCACCACTACCCCCCACCATCCTCCAACCTACCACCACCCCCCCACCACCACCTCAGCACCACCATACGAGTTTATTCCATCGCTTCGTCTCCAATCGGCGGATGCCATTCTCGGTCCTACCTGGTGTCAACAACGCCAAGAGGCCTCGCATTTAAAACCTGGCACGATCAGCCATCAGCCCAAGGATGAGCGGATGCCCCTTCTCGCCGTGACTGGCATTGTCACCATTGTCACCATTGCTTGGCATTGTCACCATTGCATGGCATTGTCACCATTGCCTGGCATCGGCGTTGGGCGCGGTAGGGGATCCCAACGCACGCGACCCCCCCCCCCCCCCCCACTGCTTGTAGATGCAACTCACTGCAGCCACCACACTGGAGGCCTCGGCAATTCAACATCAGCTCCTTGGCCCCCCCGCCCCCGCTCCGCATCTCTCCTTCTCTCCCCTCCGTCTCGTCCGCCCCACCCCGACCGACGGAGCCTCCATTTCGTCGACGTTAAAAGACACAATCAGCACAATGGCTCTGGGCTCATTGCGATTCAGGGAGGGATGGGAGGCTCGTTGCCAATTGGGTGGCGGTGTTGATTTTTTCCTCCCCATCCCATCATCGTCGTATTTAATTTTAAAAAACAATTTAATTGTACACCGTAATAAAAAACGGATGACAGATTACTCACCCAAAAGCTACTGGAGCTGCAGCCGCGTCTTTGCCGATTGTTGACGAGAGGACGCGAGAAGAAAGCGTGAACCTTTGTGGATCCACGGTGAATCTTTGGTTGGTGAATATTTCGTCAAGCGAGCGGTGCTCTCAAGCCGGCTGGGTGGATGGAGCCGCCTTCTCCTCCTCGTCCTCGTCCACACGATGGTAGGGTCCACTGCTCCTCCTCCCCATCCACTCCCGTGCTCGGCATCATCCACTCCACACAGCCCCCCCCCCATCACCATCGTTGAGATGGAATGGTCTGCAGTAGCCTCCCCTGCAACGAGATGCAATTGCTATGGCAACCAGCTGCCTGGATTTGGTGGAGTGGGGGTGTGAGGGATTGGGTTGGTGGGTGGGTAGTGGAAGCAGGAGTCACTATAAATGCCCCCTGGGAGGTTAAGGCTGTTAGGTTTGTATTATTTTATTTGGGGGCGCCACTAGTTATTTCCATTGGACGGGGAAGGATGGACTGAACAACTGATTTGATGTACACCATTTATTCCGATGCTTGGAATGCTCGGAATAAATGACAAAGATATTCTGGGCTCACAGCAAGCTTGCAGATAAAGAGTGGAGGACGAAGGATGGAATGCAATTATTGCGCACTGCCCAAAGGCCATGTGCAGCTTGAAAGTAATGAATGCTTGAAAAATATATAACAACCTTGAAACGCTTCTCCGACACAAAGGTCGCAAAATAATTTAGCCGAACAGTCCCCACGTCACCCGAGGAACCAGAGTGAATCGAGGATTGTGATATTATGCCTCAAAAAACAAGAACGCTCTCTCAAAATGATTATAAAGCCAAATTAAAGCAACCACTCAGAAAGACGAGTGCTAATATAGCAATGGTATCAAAAACACTCAAGACGAGCTGGGTGTGATAAATAGTGAATTTCACAATTTACCATTTTCACAATTTACCATTTCAAATTTAAACTATAGCTTGCACTAAGCAATTGCGGTACTCTTAAATGCATGTGCTGTAATTACAGCTGTTAAACGACATTACTCTCATGGGAATGTCTGTTACAAGTATCGTAATGTCCCAGGTTTGTCAATTAAAGTTCGCTGGTGTATCGCGGATCTTATTTCACTGCAATTTGTTTTGCGCTGAGCATCTTCCAAGAACATTCCCGTTACAACCCCCAGGTAAAATGACAATACCGCATAGCAACTGTACAAATCTTAAGGTCCGTCAACTCGAGATGGAAGACGTAGAAAATGAGTGTCATCCAACATTCATTGGAATCAATACGGCCCAGCATGCAGCAAGCACCCTTGCCACCAATCCGGTTTATACATTTCACGCTGCATTCCCACATTGCAACACAAATGAACTGTCACCCTGCTGCAACGTGAACATCAAAATGGACTCGGAACGTTTCTCTCCCAGCGTAGTAGTTATATTATGTAAAAATATGCGAACCGCTGATTATCCAAGGGTTTCCTTCAAAATGTAAGACCTCTTATTCCAGTAGTTCTTAACCTTTAATGCAGCCTGCAACCCTTTGGTTCCCAATCGTAATTTAATTGTATAAATACAGAGGGGTTTATTAAACCAAGTAGTTGTACTTACGTGTCCGTGCTGAATTTGTTTCGATTATTTAATTTCTAAAACAATCTGGCCATGTCACACGCACCCAAGGAAGGGCGCTACGTCCAAAGTGGCCATCAATCTGTACATCTGATGTACTACATCAGGCAGACGAGATGGAAACCTTGTCTATTTCCAGCCTGCAAGTTGAGTATACTTTTTTAACTACTGTCTTAGTTTAATGAAAAGGATCTTTGTTTATCGAAGAAAACCTCACGAGTCTCAATGATTATTTAACAAAAACCTGAATTAGGATGTCTAATAATGTATCAGTGACGTTTAGCATTTGGGAGGAAACCGGAGGCACCCAGATACAACTCCACACACAAGGGGGTAAAACATAGCAAGTTCTACACACGGTATGTTTGCAACCCAAGCCTACTACAATAATTCCTAAGCAGTGACACCTCCAAAACGACCCAGGCTTAAACCTCTGGGCTCTGATCCGAGTACATAACAGGTACTGTGTAAACGAAAGTGTATTGTCGTGTATTTTATTTAGAAATATTGATAGCATGACCGTAACTTGAGACTCCAAACCTAATTTCGTAGGTGAACTTTGAGCAACTCAATTTCCACTCGGACTGGAATGCACCCAGAATAAACATCAACCCTCGTCCACGACACATCGAATCACCGGGACGCGGTCGATTAGTGGCTCTTCACCAGAGGTTCACGCACCCTCTGTGGGTGCAAAATTCCCTTTCTGGAGGTGCGAGACATGGCCAAAGTTGTGTTAGAAGGTAAATCATCGAAACATTCAGTACAGGCACGTGAGCACTGCTTTGTTTCATTAAACCCCTCTGTGTTGATTATCACTATACTTGTGTCTAACGGTTGAGAACCAAAGGGGTGCAAGGCTGCAGTGCAGGTTAAAAAACACTGGGGTAGATCATTGCATCTTTGACATGCAGAAATAACAAACACTGGAATGCTCAAAATGTTTGTATTTGAGTGCCATCAATGTTATCTTTAAAATTGGACAGAATATTGGCATCGAGATATCGAGCGATACCACCATGCCATGGGTGATGCAATACAAAATTGCAAAGTGTTCTGATCAGCACGAGGTTGTCAATTTAAGTTGAGACATTGATCGTGCCAAGAGCCGAACACCTCAATCCACGTTTTCAGTGCAATGGTACCAGCACACCAAACATACTGCAAATGCAATCAGGATTCACTCACTCAACCATTGACCTTCACCAAGCATCATATCACAAAAACAAATATCAATATTGCACACAAATGTGGCAATTGTGACAAAGACGTTTAAACGTTTGGTATTGAAATATTACGTTTGTATGGTATTGTACAATCAGAAACAAAACGTGTTGTGTATTAACATATGTACAAAATAATACTAACTTCACCTTTTAATATACTCACTAGGTTTAGCCATTGCCCTTCTGTTTCTCTTCAGGCCTTGTCCTCAACTCTGCCATATATTTTTGACTGCAACTACGGTGGTTTCATTGAAATGTTGAACTACCACCTCGTGACCGCATCCCAATTCAGCGTCGTGTCACACCCAGTGGTGCATGTCCATTGGTCTGTCACTCTCCACTTAGCGGAGCCATCAATGAACACCATGTGCCGAAACGCAGACGGAACTATCATTCCCACAAACACATTTGGGGTGCTTTTATTCACTAATGTGCCTCTTGAGGGTGCTTAATATCATTTGTGAGGGTTTTAAAAATACCATAAGGCCCTGCCAACATTTGCAGCTTGAGGGCAAAATTGTTTTTGTAGGGAGCTGTAAAAGCCGATGTCCAAAGTGCCCATAAATCTGGACATCAGGCATGCAAGATGGAAACCATATATTATTTTCAGCCTGCAAGTTGAGTATACTTTTTTTTCCCCCCAACACCTTTGCGAGGCAGTTAAATGCTAGTTGAATTCAGAATCAATGTCAGCATTGCTGTTTACTGTTTTTAAGAACATGAGCAGATATTCTAGTGAAGATGTAATCTGCTTAGTGGGACATGTACAATCACAAACTGGGTCAACAGTGAGTGCTAAGAACCCTTTCACTGGCGAAAAGACAGCTAACCTGTCCCGAGGCTAAAAACAACAAAGGAATGGAGAGCTCCATTCTCCCAGTTAAGGCAGCATACACATCTGGCAACAAATATTAAAAAACACAAACTACACCAACGTGAAGTCCAAGGGGTTTATTGTTTCAAAACATCACGTTAACCGGTCTGCATTTCACTTGGGCTTCTGGGTCTGGGCCTTCAGCACCTTGACAACGATCTTCTGTTCCTCAATCAGGAAGGCGCGCTTGATTCTGTAACAAAGAAAAACACGGTTACAATCGAGCATATTAGAAATAATGCAAGATTTTGTCTCATTTGGGCTCCCACCTGGATATACAGATGGTGCATTTATGTATTTATGAAAAGCGATTTGCCAACCCACTGCTGGATGAGGGCCTCCCCACACCGTGCAGACCATCGTTCATACCATACTTCACCACGTTGGTCAGTGTGGGTTGTTGAAAGCGGAGGGAGGGGGGGGGCACTGACGTTGGCAAAGCTAAAGCACCGCAAGTACAATAATTAAATGTGCTGCACTGCCCTATGCTGCCAAGCACATCGTCCTGAAGCATAGAACGCCTGTCATTCATGGTGGTAACCAAATTAAGCACGAAATACAGGCTCTGACATCTTAAGAAATCCGGCACATTCCAAGTGATTTGATTATCGGGATGCATGTGCAATATGTAAATAGTTTATAAAATGTGGGAAAATCCACACTCTTGACTCAACCCAAGATATCCGGAAACTAGTTTAACCAAGTATTAATTATTTACAGCTGAACATGTGCATTATGAATTATTCATAGCTGAGTGGTGCAAGGCTACTAAGAATGTAATCATAAACAGAATCGGAGCTTAATACCTATGGACTTGAGTATCAAAAGTGTGACAGTGGAAATGAACACTTCCAATTACTCAATCAACTACAACATTTCATACTTTTAGCTGACAATATCCAACATTGGGGAAAGTAATCTACATGATCACCAACGGTAAGGTACAAGGCCCTTCAAATTGTAAGCAATTCCACTATAAGACTTCAAAAAGGGAATTATCAACGCTTCAAAGCAACGCCAAATTCAGTACGTGCAGCGGGTACTCACATTATGCGTTAAATTTATTTGCTAGCTTTTGACATCACGTTGCCAGATGGCGGGGGTTTCTAGCTTGCAAACTCAGCACCGCACGGCTAATGAACAGCCTTCATTAAATTTCCATTTCACTAAGAGGCCCGTCGCAAACCCACCCAACGTTATTAAAGTCGGCGCGGCTAGAACGACACAACATGCGTGTTCACAGTTCGATAATGCTGCAACACCCGACCGATTGGTTTTTAAATGTTATCGTAATTATTCGAATTGATACTGCAAACGGTAAAAATACTTTTTCTAGCAGCTGCCAGATGAGAGGTCAATGAATTTGGTTCCTTAAGCGTATGCGATAAGCTCCAAGAATAATTTCAAAATGACTTTACGGTGTACATTTTTGTAAATTAAATTGAGTGCTACAGTGCGACGGGGGTAACGCTCCCCAGTGAATTATTAAAATTGCACATGCTAGCTCTTCTTACAGAATCCATGCAATTTATGTGATTAATCTTTACAAAAGAATATTAAAAAAGCTATTTATTTGAAAACGCTCCACTTGGCATTAATAGATTGGGCTTCTTTTTGTTGAGGGTTTATTTTCAAAAACTCGTCCAAATACAGGGGGGGGGGGGTTTACACAATCCACAGAGCTGGTGGCAGAGTATTCACAGTTTTGGCCCTTGTGATGAAACAGACCATTTTGCCAACACCAACAAGGATAACTTTAAATCAACATTTTGTTAATATGTTTCAGCACAGCTTAAGGACTTGGATGCAGATTAACGTTGACAAATAGATTCGAGTTCACTCGCAATTTCATTTCCTCACTGTAAATTCAACTTAAAAAACGAACCTCTTCATGGAGTCTAAGCGACCATAAAATCTAATTAACAAGTACAGAATTAACTAAGCTTGCCAAATTCCATGGGACATTCTTATTTTTTTTGTGTCACCTTCATAATTCCTAGTTACGGAATTATTGCCAATATGCAGGTTAATAAATGAAAAACACATCACTAAAAGTATTTAGTGTTCCTGACGTCTTTAAATGGCACAAGATATGAGCACAGTTAAGTACATATAACCAGTTGCCATTGGTGTACATTGTCAGGAATTGTATGCAGTCTATGGGTACTGCGCTTACCACCACAATAATTTGAGCAAAGCACAAGACGAAAACATGATGGGTTAAAACCACATTCCAATGTTATTTAGGAAGTCCTAATGCCTATTCAGAAAATTAGAAAGTGTTAAAGAAGATGAAAATATGTTTTAAAGACATCATAGGGTAGGAAAATGTAATAATTGAAGTATACACAACTGAGAAGGGGGGATAAAGCAGTAGTACAGTGGTTTGTACACTGAATACGATTTCAGGAATGGCTAACAGCAGTGGCAAGTGATATCTGAACAGGTCCTAGGCCGACCTGTACGGTCAAAGCAACACCCATTATTTAACAGAATGGAGGCCTTCATCCAGCAGTGGATAGAAAGAGCTGCACATACTATGCAAATATATCACTGGGAAAGGGGCAAGGTGCAATAAACCCCAGCAATCAATCAGAATATTCATTTATCCTGGCTGGAGGAATCCGATGGGCTATAAAGTTATTTTTCACAAATGTCCAATATTTCAGTTGTCCTCCAGGAGTATGTTCAGTTCTTGCAGCCGCAAGGCGACATTTACCTGTCGCGGACGCACTTGGCGCACATGGAGCCTCCGTAAGCCCTGGAAACGTGCTTCTTGGTCTTTGACAACCTCTTGAGCACAGCCGGCCTCACCGCCTTCACCTACAGGTGTACACATGTCAGCATCAGCAACAGGCCAAGTAAATGACACCAACCCCATCATGGGACCACAAATGGTAACGGAGCAGTGCCCCCCATTGTAATAAACTGGCAATGGGATTCATTATGATTTTATCAGCCAATTTTTTTTATCTGAAAATATTCATACCATTTTTTAATGACCATAGCTTCCAATGGATGTGATTTTGAATAAATATTGCCACTTGGAATTTTGAACAGCATGGCAGCAGTCCAATTTCAGTACAAGTAATGCGACTAAGTTGATTAGGCCATGGAAACACCTGTCCTTAAATTACAAAAATACTTTTACAGCTGAATTTTTTTAAATCAATTTCATCATCCAACAAGTGCAAAGTGTATGCTGTCATTTTATATTTCTACACATGAGAAATGCACTCGCAGTACTTGGCAATTGACACAAAACGCTTTTGCTACTCATGGCCACAGCCAATTTTTCTTAAAATTAAGTGTGTAGTGTCCAACATTACCCTCCGCAGGCGAGCAACACGACTGCTATTTAAACGCGTCACAACCCAGCTTAATGCAGCCACGAAGCATTTCCGTAATGAGTCAAGTGCCTGCGCCTTAATAGCGAAAGGCGTTCCCACCCAAAAGCCATCATTGTACAAAGGCCCATTTACAGAACTTTCTGACCCAATGATTTAATAGCACCAACAGTTGTCCAATGTCTACGTCACAGAACACAAAACGCTACAGCCAACAGTAGAATGAAACTGCAGAGTGCGCGGCTAGGACCCGTTCTAAATAGAATTTTAAATTAATGAAATTGTCAGCACGATGCTTTAAAGTGCATTTGACAATGCAGTGCTGGCCTGCAAAGAAACAAATGGCACGTAATTGAAAAATGTACAGTTGTAGCCAAGGAATAACAAATATTCACGACGCAAAACCTAATATTGCCATGTTATGTGTTTGGGATTTTTGTCGCCACATTTAAGAAAGATGAATTGTGCGTCAAAACGGGTAGCAAGCTTAGCACACCGCTTTACACACACATCAAGAGCAATGTATGAAAAATGTCAGGTACAGGTGCAACTCCTTACTCCACGCAGCCGGCCGGGGCACAGTCCACACGCAGACTTGGGGGCCTTGCCAACCTTCTTCATGTACAGGTACACCAGCCGGCCACCGGGGGTCTTTGACCTGTACCACCACAAAATAGAATAACAGCGCGATTGTATTATTACATCGTAGTATGGGGCACGTCTCACCAACATATTTGTGTACTTAGTCAAGTAAACCACTTTTGAAGCTGCCCTCTCCCTTCCCCCAAAACGTTTTAGAGCAGATCATATACTATGCAACCCGTATTCAGTAACTTTCAAGATGCCTTCGCTACTCCACATGACCTACCCCTCAAAATCTTAAAAATCATTCCTACGAGCATGGTACACATATCACGCTAGGCCTATGCCTGTAGAAGTTGTCCTGAAATTGCCCAATGCATGGCTGGCACATGTTAATTCCATTTCAGTGGACTTGGCCTGGAAAGATCACCAAACATTGAAGACAAATTACATTTGTATTATCACTTTGTTTTTCTTAATTTACATTACTAAACCATGTAAATAATGTATCTGTGCGTGGCACTTGGAAGCGCTCAACTTTAATGGTAGTCTTAAATAATTGGTGAAAACGATACGCATTCCTGCAGGAGGGTCATGATTGAGTCAGTTAACCTTGGCCCACATTTTGATTCGTAATAAGAACCAAGCTACTACACACTTAACTAAAGACAGTTTAAACACCGAGTAAACGTCCCACAATGCACGTGTTCGAGTCAAGCGGCCCAAAGATGTGGACCAAGGGAGGTGAGAGGGGAGCCACTCACAGCCTCGTTTTGTTGGAGGCCGTGTTGTAGGACAGCCTACGGCGGTAAGTGAGGCGCTGCACCATCTTGGCTTTCTGAAGGAAAAAAACACAAGGTTTGTGAGCTTCACATACACATGCTCAAGTGTCCAATATACACGCGTACACACTGTCCCTTGACAAAAAAACCTCATCAGACGTTAAGATGAAGCACGTTGGATTCTCCAAATAATGCTTTAAAATTGTGAAGTGATCAGACGCGAAGTCTCGGTGGGATCTCTTCTGGTAAAATAAAAGTCCATCGGTTAATCGAAAACTCCACACCTCACTGGGCCCGCTCTACAACGTTAAGTGCACAAACTATGCGTCTACGTTTGCGCTGTGGCCCACACAGTGCTGATGAGACATTCTAAACCGGTTCAGTCTGCCTGCATACAATTCTGCAGCAGAAAGTCTACAAAGTGCACTGGTGCAGCAAGGGACACTCGAAAGCAACCACCACGTTCGTTACTAACACTGGCTTCATCACCAGCCATGATATTTCGTGACCATCTGCCACATTGCAGGTAGGCTGACGTTTCGGGCAATGATCCTTCACAGCAACGCTGATCCACACGAACTACAATTTACGATGACGGCCTATTACGTTACAATTATTTCTGGCAATGAGACAAGACCCGAGTCCGCAAAATTCTCCATGTATTAATCACCTTAATGAGTGATCAATACACAAGCTTCACATTAAGAGGGTCTCTTGTCACTGCATGTAACAAACAACCATCGTTACTACAGTCCTCGTGACATGCAGTACGAGTATTTTTGGGTTTCGGCAGATGCAGTATTTTAGAGCGATTGTTTTAGTTTTGGCGCAAAGCTAAGATGGTACGAGTTTGGGCCGTCAGGGGGCAGGTTTACTGTGCAAGCGGTGCCGCACGTTGCTCTGCGAGCCACGAATCTGCGGGGCCGCAAGTCGAGACACAGACAGCAGCCGGGTGGCCTTGGCGCTTTCAAACAACTCTGGGATACTTCTCATCACGCTGGAATCTCTCTCGCTCGGTGCAAGCCAGTCAATTAGCATGTCGATGCACTGCCACGCGTTTAAATGTACACAAACGGTAAAACCTTAAGCTTCCAGGCCCGACTAGGTCCGTCCCAATTCTGAGAACGCAAACCAATAAATCGATCAGCCCATCGCTGAATGAAGGTCTCCCCCCTCGCTATACACGCCACGACATCCGCGTAAAACACAATCGTTTAAGGCGTTTAACGACAACGCAACGCGCCCCGCTTGGATGTTGGTCGCCATGCGCGTTCCAAGCGAATGCGCCGGCCGCTACGGATCTAGGCCCATGCCAACACCAGGCGGTGGTGGCTGGAAAAAATCGCGGATGTATCCGGAGCTCGAATGAAACGAATCGATCGGGAACGACAAAGTTGATGCTTTCGTGGTCGCGTCCGACGCGGCGACCGCTCGTTCGCGGGTCGCGATCGAACGGACGCGATTTCTCGCGCGGGAAACCTGCGGATGGCGACGGATCCAAGTCACCAGCAAGTCGCCGAGTCGCCCTACCTTGCTCAGACGAAACCGGAAAAGGAGGGAGGCCCTGTGAGTTCAAAGGTTAAATGGCGGAACGCCCCCGCCCCCCCCGGAAGATGGAAGCGTTTCCGGGTCGTAACGAGGGAAGGGGCGAGCGGGTGGGGGTCGGGTGAACGTGACGTCACGCGCCAGTGCAAACTCCGCCTTGATGACGTCATGTGCACCGTCGCCGCGCGTGTCGAAGGTTTATTTTCTGTATTACGTAACAATCGAGCTGTTGGGATGACGTAATACTCATGCCTGCCGAGCGTGATGACGTGACGTAATTGGGTTTTTTCTCTCGGGGGGTGGGGGCGGTGCGAAATGATTTGGCTTGATGACCTCACAACGTAACGGACGCTGGGCCGCGATGACGACATTTCGTTTCTTTACGGCACACGCCCGGGGAGCGGTGGGGAGGGGCACTGACGTAATGCAGGTCGCAGCAACTGCAGCTCGCTTGAGCGCGTTCAGCTTGAGCGCGTTCAGCTTGAGCGCGTTCAGCTTGAGCGCGTTCAGCTTTCGCGACCACTATAATCCATAACAAAGTTGTTTTTGGTGGGGGTGGGGCCATCATATGGCGTAAATCGCCTGGTGAAACTGGCTCTAATCACCGGCGAAATGTCAGAGTACTCAAATTGTAAATGACGTGGGTTTTGCTCTCCAGCACACCGGGGGTGCTGAAGTAGTAACTAATCAGCAGCACGGTTTGTTAACGTGCCCAACCTTACTAATTGGCTGTGTCGGGTGGTGGTGGGTTAACGACACCTTTATATGTATGCAGCACGCTGTTCGCGTGACATCTCATGCAACTACTGGGCGTCTATATTCTTGTTCTTTCGGTAAAGTCACGTAGAAGGGAAATAATAAAAATATAAACAATACAAATTCTCACGACGTTTCGACTGCAACACAAGCAATCATCATCAGGTGTGAAAAAAAATATCTTCATAGCTCACCGCCGGAATCCTCCACTGCATATACCGAGACATGTTCTGATTCTGATCTTCCTTGCAACGCGCGTCCGCGTCTCCTCGCCTTGCGGTGGCTCTTGCCGGGCTTGGGCAAGTCGCCTCGCGAGTAAGGGATGGTCACCGGCGAGAGAAACCTAACGACCGGTGCTTTAATAACATCTCCTTGCGTGTGATGACAGCAGCAGCAGCAATACGTTCAGGAGATAGATGGACATGTCGAGGTCTGCCAGCCACGACGAGAGGGCTTCAGGAGTGACAGGAGAGGTAGTGGTGTGGTTTGTTGCTGCTCCTCGTTTGTTGATGGAGCACACTCCGCCAGTGTACTATATGGTCCACACACTACAGTGATGTACTATATGGTCCATACAATACAGTGATGTACTATATGGTCCACACACTACAGTGATGTACTATATGGTTCATACACTACAGTGATGTACTATATGGTCCATACACTACAGTGATGCACTATATGGTCCACCCACTACAGTGATGCACTATATGGTCCATACACTACAGTGATGCACTATATGGTCCACACACTGCAGTGATGTACTATATGGTCCATACACTACAGTGATGTACTATATGGTCCATACACTACAGTGATGTACTATATGGTCCATACACTACAGTGATGCACTATATGGTCCACACACTGCAGTGATGTACTATATGGTCCACACACTACAGTGATGTACTATATGGTCCATACACTACAGTGATGTACTATATGGTCCATACACTACAGTGATGTACTATATGGTCCATACACTACAGTGATGTACTATATGGTCCATACACTACAGTGATGCACTATATGGTCCATACACTACAGTGATGTACTATATGGTCCACACACTACAGTGATGTACTATATGGTCCATACACTACAGTGATGTACTATATGGTCCACACACTACAGTGATGTACTATATGGTCCATACACTACAGTGATGTACTATATGGTCCACACACTACAGTGATGTACTATATGGTCCATACACTACAGTGATGTACTATATGGTCCACACACTACAGTGATGTACTATATGGTCCACACACTACAGTGATGTACTATATGGTCCATACACTACAGTGATGTACTATATGGTCCATACACTGCAGTGATGTACTATATGGTCCACACACTACAGTGATGTACTATATGGTCCATACACTACAGTGATGTACTATATGGTCCATACACTGCAGTGATGTACTATATGGTCCACACACTACAGTGATGTACTATATGGTCCACACACTACAGTGATGTACTATATGGTCCACACACTACAGTGATGTACTGTATGGTCCACACACTACAGTGATGTACTATATGGTCCATACACTACAGTGATGTACTATATGGTCCATACACTACAGTGATGTACTATATGGTCCACACACTACAGTGATGTACTATATGGTCCACACACTGCAGTGATGTACTATATGGTCCACACACTACAGTGATGTACTATATGGTCCATACACTACAGTGATGTACTATATGGTCCACACACTACAGTGATGTACTATATGGTCCACACACTACAGTGATGTACTATATGGTCCATACACTACAGTGATGTACTATATGGTCCATACACTGCAGTGATGTACTATATGGTCCACACACTACAGTGATGTACTATATGGTCCACACACTACAGTGATGTACTATATGGTCCACACACTACAGTGATGTACTATATGGTCCACACACTACAGTGATGTACTATATGGTCCATACACTACAGTGATGTACTATATGGTCCATACACTACAGTGATGTACTATATGGTCCACACACTACAGTGATGTACTATATGGTCCACACACTGCAGTGATGTACTATATGGTCCACACACTACAGTGATGTACTATATGGTCCATACAATACAGTGATGTACTATATGGTCCATACACTACAGTTATTTACTATATGGTCCATACACTACAGTTATTTACTATGTGGAGGGCGTTGGCAATAATGATTCACACTTATAAGGCGCAATTCATCCAGGGACGAAGTTAGTAAATATGAATTCTACAAAGTCCACAGTCTACTGGTCATACGTGGGAAGTGTAGGCGAGGCGAAACAGCCGAGTTTTTAGAGAAGACCTCCACACGGCGAGTGAGCTCGCGTGTCTCGCCACCGGTGGGAGGGCTTCCCGTCGTCTTTTCTCTCTTCAAATTAGAGGCAATCCACTCTCATTCGTTAAAGTTACCGACAGCTAATGTCCAATCTGCATGACGCGTCATTTGAATGATGATTTTTATTGTAATTAATGTAGGAATTCAGCCTCACTGATTCATCTTGTCTGCCAGACCCCGACTCCGAATGAACGGACGGAGAGGTCAGAGTGCTTGTAGGGTGACACGCCAGTGAAGATGGAGATGCAATCATCGTCACCGTACACGCCCCACACGTCGTCACCTTGTGCACACTGATCACGCCTCTGATGCAGCACTTTCGATGTACGTAGATTTGTTAAACGTACAACCCACTTGCGCTTGCAGTGGAGTGCAGCAAGTGGGATCGTTACTCCATCTCGTGTATGTTGAGTGGGTTTTCTCCAGGTTATCCTTTTTTTTCTCATTTGCAAAAGATTGATTATCAAGTTCACCAATTGGCCAAAACATGTAAATGTAAGAACCATGTTGAAAAATGCGTCTTGAAATTCAGGAAGGCTTTCCCAAGCAGAGTAAGTAATTGTTGTGTTCAGGAACATTACAGTATTTTCATGGAATTAGACAATCATCCCAAGGACACGGAACCACTTATACAGGTTTCCCTCGCTTTGTGCGGTCGACGCTTTCCAAACAAAAGCGCGCACAATTACCAAGTGACGTTTGTCCCACGTCTGACCGCATCGCCGCATATGAGTAAAATGTAACCGCATATAGCGAATTTTGGGTAGACATATGTTAGCGGCACGGGCGCAAACTTATAGGAAAATAAAGAAGACACGGAGGCTCTCTTGTAGATAATACATTGCAACATTAGTGTAAATTCCAACAACGAGGTCTTTAAACCAAGTTTAGGGCCTTTGCAACAGACTTTTATTGCAAATAAAATCTGAAAAACCTAGCTCCGATAATTTGAAGAACGACTGCTAAAAAAAATAAGGCAATTTAATGATTCACCACCATCATCACTCTCAAAGCCGGTTCGAAGCTTTCGTGACTGCAAGAATTACTATTTGGTTCTTTCGGTAAAGTCACGTAGAAAATAAAATCAAACAATCATAGAATACGACGTTTCGATTGCAACACGAGCAACCATCATCAGGTAAGAATGAATGAGAAAAAACAAACATAGTAAACTTAGAAACACAATACAACACAACACAGAGAGCCGGACAACACAACATTGTTTGGAGAAGCGTGGTCAGCCAGGTGGCGTGTTCGCTGTTGTGTTGGCCGCCTCTCTGTGTTGTGTTGCATTGTGTTTCTAAGTTGACTATGTTTACTCGTTGGTTCTTTCGGTAAAGTCACCTGATGACGGACGCTTGTGTTGCGCCCGAAACGTCGTGATTTATGTATTATATACCAACGTGACTTTACCGAAATAACCAAAGAGTTTGGATTCCTGCAGTCACGAAAGGTTCAAATCAAGATTTACGATGTTTGTTTTTTCTCATTCATTCTTACCTGATGATGGTTGCTTGTGTTGCAATCGAAACGTCGTATTATATCATTATTTGATTTGATTTTCTACGTGACTTTACCGAAAGAACCGAAGAGTAACCCTCAAAGCCTTTTTGTAATTGTATGGATATCTGAAAACGTGATTATTTTTACGTATTGAAATAACATGATAGCTGTCAATGTTGATTTTGGGTGCCTAAAGCTGGAGTGTGAAACAAATCATATTTGAGTTCTTAGACGTTTTAGACTTTTATAACACAGAGTACAGTACTGTATTGTCAGCGTTTTACCCTGTGGCACAACAGTGCCAGCAGATGGCGTACGTGGTGCGCATACGTTGACTTGTAATGTGAAGTGTATATTTTCTTTGAATTATATTCTTCGCATTCGACTGGCATACCTTAAGATCAAAGGAGCAAATCATAGGGAGTCTAACACA